AAAAACTAAACATAAGTATACATAACTAAAACAAATAAACAAAAAAAGAGATAGTAATTACATTAACTTACTTTTTCATTATGGAAATATTTTCTACAAAGAGCATCAAATTGTGGAGACTTCATTTCAGAATAACATAACATTCGAGGATAACCAGCTTCTTTGAAGTTCACAAATTGTTTCTCTTGGAAAATAGGAAGTACTTCCATAATCCAGACACAAAACGCAAAAGGAAAGCCAACTAAAGTGTAGCTATCAATATCTTTTTCTTTCTCTTTCTCCTTCTCAACATCATTCTCATTTGATTTCAAGAAACTCTTCAATGATTTTAGTAGCGTCTCATAAGCAAAAGAGCCCCAGTTGAAGGAAGCGCAAAGTGCATCATCGTCAACAATTTTCATTATTTGCTCCGACACATTCCTATTTTTCCTCTTGCCCATCAAAACAGACTCAACAAAATAGAGTGTTGCCAACTTCAAAGTATCATCATCACTGCCAGCAAATGATGAAGTTGTACCATGTGGGCGGCTAGAAATAAAACTATACAAATCAGCCAACTCAATTTTGTCCTTTCCAGGGAAATAGACTCTTAAAAGCCTATTCTCTTTCTCATTTAAACCTTTCATGTCAAGCAACGAATAAGACTTCAAACCAGTAATAATATGGAATGCATCACGAGTAAACTTAATATCGCGGTCAAATACCTTGAAGGTCATCGAATCAGGTTCATTATTAACAATTTCAAAAAGCAATACACAGTGCATAAGTTTACCCGAGAACTTCACACTTTATAATCTGAAGAAGTTGCCAAAAATACTTTCCCTCAATTTCTTCCATTGGCTATTCAACAGAAAGCTTTTAATTGTTTCCTTATATTGAAAATCTCCTTTCCAATATACCAGAAAATTCCACCAATCGTCAAAATCAAACAAATGATCGCCTTCCATTATAACACTAGAAAAGAAGGAAAAACAAACAAAGATTAGGACTTAACTTAAAATTTCAAGTTTAAAAGTTAAGCAAATACAATCCTTAACTTTAAATTTTAAGTGCAAACGTTAAAGAAATACAGTCCTTAACTTATACTTTCAACTTCCAAAGTTAAGGACACTTAGTCCTTAACTTCAAGTTTCATGTGCAAAAGTTAAGGACAAT